GCACATCTTCGTCATAGTGGACAGGTTTACTAAGTACTCATGCTAGACTACTTCCCATACCAGAAACAGCCAAGACAGCCAAGACCGACCACATCATCAAGTTATTTATGGATAACTGGGTGCGTGACTTTGGACTGCCCAAGAGCATTGTTAGTGATAGGGATGTCTGTTTCACCAGTGAGATGTGGAAGAAGGCCGCAGAACAAATGGGCAGCCAACTTCAAATGACTTCGAGGAATCATCCCGAAGCCAACGGCCAAGCGGAACAGATGAACCACGTGGTGCAGCATTTGCTGAGGCACTACATCAAGCCCAGCCAAGATGACTGGATGAGAAATTGCCTCTCATCGCCAGTCTCTATAACAACGCTGTACACAGCACCACCGGCGTCAGCCCGAACGAGCTGCATCTCGGGTGGAGGCCTAAATCTGCACTAGACTTCCTCCTTCCAGAAAACCGACAAGTTACAATGCCTGGAACCATAGAGTTTGGTGTCCAGTATGAAAGGTTGCTGCAGCAGGCTGTCGAGCATATCAGAAATCTAAGGAGGCAATGATTGCCTCTGAGAACAAACATAGACGACAGTCCACATTTCAGGTAGGGGAACGTGTCTGGGTAAAGGCTAGTGAATTAGGACAGGCATTCAGAATCTATCGGAAACTAATACCTCAGTATTTTGGTCCTTGGGAAGTCTTGGATATTGTTGGTACTGATTTGGATGGCCCTCTTACATCATACGAATCCCTGGACATCTGTGCACTTACCCTGTATTTCACGCTTCCAAGCTTGCACCTTTCGTTGAGACTGATCAGTTCCCATCAAGGAGATCAATGCTGCCCCCAACCATGGATGGTCATGTGGACGTGGACGGCATTTTGGAACACAGAGACTTGCCTGTCCCCAAGCCTGTTGGCAGGGGAAAACCGCCCAAGCCTATGAAGGAGTACCGGGTCTGATTCAGGCACCATACGGATCCGAAGGAAGATTGTTGGTTCACAAAAGAGAGCTTGTCAAAACATCGCCTCAAATCGTGGCCGAGTATGAACGGAAGTTAAAGAGGAAAACACCTGCGTAAGAGCATCTCGGCGGACTTTCGAAGCTAAGGGGGATGGAATGCGAGGATTCAGTCATCGCAGGGCCCTTATCAGACAAGCAAGTGTTCTGGGCTGTGGCCCCCAGCAGGCCTCGAGCCCGCCCTAAGTGAAGGCGCCTGAATATCTGCTGGAGGCCAATTTTGGACATTTTCCGTAAATCGGGTATCAGACAGTTGCAGCACGCCAGTTGGTTACAAAGCAACGTGAGCCTTTCGTGGCTCATTCCGGAAGCTGTGGCTGCGCTGTACAGTTGAGCCCAGGGCTCAGGTGGTTGCGCCCTGGCACACACACTGAGAGGCCGACACATCATGGAAAGGCCGCGGACCAATGAGAACGCAGCATTGTCATCACACTTCTACCGTGAGCCAATGGGAGAGCGGCAAACCCTTGGAGCCTGGGAGGCTGCCTGGACGGGCCTAACCGCACGAGGCCCAGGCCAGTATCTGAAACTGGGCCTGGGCGCAGACACTTGGGGCCAGCCTGAAGCTACTGGGCCCCTACACACCTGGGCAGACTGGCCAGCAGCAGGGGAGTTTACCATAAAGGAGAGTGAGCTCCCCTGGGGAAGGATTCGGGCCTGAGCAGGCAATGCGGCCACGCTGCTGCTCTGCCTTGCGACGCTGCGCTGAGCAGCCAGGCCGGGGCGCACGCGGGCGCTAAGAGGTGAGAGGGCGCTGCGGTCGCAGTGGGCGAACGGCGGCCATCGCCGGGCTGCGCGTGCGGGTAGCAGGTAATGGCGATGGTGGTCTTCGGGTAGGAGGCGCATGCAGAGGGGAGTCAAGGTGTGATGAGGGGAGGAGAGAGAACGTACCTGGTGTATGCTGAACATACGATTCAAAGAAGAGGATACTAGGTGATGGGGCAATATTGCAAACAGTGCGAGTACAAGCCTGCAAGGGCCTTTCCCCTCCTCAGGTTGGTACCCTCTGTGTACTCGCGCTGTTTGCAATATTGCCCCATCACATACACCTTCCACCCCGAACCACAGAATGGCTCCACTCATTAACCTCACAAATGAGGATACCATGTTCCCTTTAAAAGGTTCTTCCTACCAGCCCACCCCCTCCTCCTTCGTTCCCCCCTCCCTTCCACCCCCTCTTCCACTCCCCTTTCCCCCCCCTCTCTTCCCCCCGAATTGCCCAGCAGCACAGAATGGCTCTGCTCATTAACCTCACAAATGTTGATACCATGCTCCCTTTAAAAGTTCTTCCCGTTTGAAAAAATAAATAAATAAATTAAAAAAAAAAAAAA